ACACCCTTAATGCTACCAATTTACACCCATACTTCTACCCATTAACACCCATACTGTTTCCAAATAACACCTATAATGCTATCCATTAACACCAATACTGCTGCCCATTAACACCCATACTACTGCACATTAACACCCATACTGCTGCCCATTAACACCCATACTGCTGTTCATTAACACCCATAATGCTTATCATTAGCACCCATAACACTACTCATTAACACCCTTAGTGCTACCCATTAACACCCATCCTGCTGCCCATTTGCACCCATACTGCTACCCATTAACATCCATATTTCTCACCGTTAACACCCATTCTGCTGCCCATTAACACTCATATTACTGCACATTAACACGCATAATGCTACCCATTAACACCCATACTGCTACCCATTACACCCACACTGCTTCCCATTAACACCCATGCTACTACCCATTAACACATATACTGCTACCAATTAACACCCATAATGCTGCCCATTTACCTCCATAATGCTACCTTTTAATACCCATAATGCTACTCATTAACACCCATTATGTTACCCATTATCATCCATAACGCTAACTATTAATACCGATACCACTACCCTTTAACACCCATACTACTACCCATTAACACCCATGCTACTACCTATTAATATCCATTAATTAATACTTATTAATACCCATTAACACCTATGCTACTACCCATTAACAAATATAATGCTGCCAATTAACACCCATAATGCTACCCATTTTCACTCATAATGCTACCCTTTAACACTCATAATGTTTCCCATTAACACCCATACTGCTTCCCATTAACATCCATGCTACTACCCATTAACACCCATATTTCTACCCATTAACTCCCATACTGCTACCCATTAACACCCATAATGCTACCCATTAACTCCCATACTGATACCCAAAAGCACCGACACTGTTTCCCATTAAGACCTATAATTCAACCCATTAACATCCACAATGCTACCCATTAACACCCATACTCCTGCTCATTAACACCCATAATGCTACTCATTAACACCATACTGCTGCCCATTTACATCCACACTCCTACCCATTAACATCCATAAAGCTAACTATTAACACCCATACTGCTGCCCGTTAACGCACATATTACTGCACATTAGCACGCAAAATGCTACCCATTAACTCCCATACTTCTGCCCATTAGCACCAATGCTACTACTCATTAACACCCATAGTGCTACCAATTAACACCCATAATGCTACCCATTAGCACCAGTTATGCTACCTATTAACATCATAATGATAACTATTAACACCCTTACTGCTACCCTTTATCACCCATACTGCTACCCATTAACGCCCATAATGCTCCCCTTTAACATCCATAATGTTTCCCATTAACACCCATGCTACTACCCACTAACACCCATATTGCTGCCCATTAACACCCATACTACTGCATATTAACACCCATACTGCTGCCCATTAACACCCATATTACTGCACATTAACACCCATACTGCTGCCCATTAACACCCATATTACTGCATATTGACACACAAAATGCTACCCATTAACACCGATACTGCTGCCCATTAACACCCATACTGCTGCATATTAACACCCATATTGATACCCATTAACATCCATACTGCTGCCCATTAACATCCATACTGCTGCCCATTAACACCCATTCTGATACCCATTAACACCCATACTGATACCCATTAATACCCATAATGCTGCCCATTAACACCAATTCTGCTGCCCATTAACACCCATACTGATACTCATTAGCACCCATACTGCTGCCCATTAACACCCATACTGCTGCCAATTAACACCCATACTGATACCCATTATCACCCATACTGCTGCCCATTAACACCCATACTGCTGCCCATTAGCACCCATATTGATACCCATTAACACTCATACTGCTGCCCATTAACATCCATACTACTGCCCATTAACACCCATTCTGATACCCATTAACACCCATACTGCTGCCCATTAATACCCATACTGATTCAGATTAATTCCCATTCTGCTGCCCATTAACATACATACTGATACTCATTAACACCCATACTGCTGCCCATTAACACTCATACTGCTGCCAATTAACACCCATACTGATACCCATTAACACCCATACTGCTGCCCATTAACACACATTCTACTGCACATGAACACCCATACTGCTACCCATTAACACCCATACTACTGCACATTAACACTCATACTACTGCACTTTAACACCCATACTGCTGCCCATTAACACCAATACTGCTGCCCGTTAACACCAATACTGATACTCATTAACACCCATACTGCTGCCCATTAACACCCATACTGCTGCCCATTAACACCCATACTGCTGCCCATTAACACCCATACTGATACCAATTAACACCCATACTGCTGCACATTAACACCCATACTGCTGCACATTAACACCCATGCTGCTGCACATTAACACCCATACTGCTGCACATTAACACCCATACTGCTGCACATTAACACCCATACTGCTGCACATTAACACCCATGCTGCTGCACATTAACACCCATACTACTGCACATTAACACCTATGCTGCTGCACATTAACACCCATACTACTGCCCATTAACACCCATGCTGCTGCACATTAACACCCATACTACTGCACAATAACACCCATGCTGCTGCACATTAACACCCATACTACTGCCCATTAACACCCATGCTGCTGCACATTAACACCCATACTACTGCCCATTAACACCCATGCTGCTGCACATTAACACCCATACTTCTGCACATTAACACCCATACTACTGCACATTAACACCCATACTTCTGCACATTAACACCCATGCTGCTGCACATTAACACCCATACTACTGCCCATTAACACCCATACTACTGCCCATTAACACCCATGCTGCTGCACATTAACACCCATACTACTACCCATTAACACCCATGCTGCTGCACATTAACACCCATACTTCTGCACATTAACACCCATACTACTGCCCATTAACACCCATACTTCTGCACATTAACACCCATGCTGCTGCACATTAACACCCATACTACTGCACATTAACATCCATACTACTGCACATTAACACCCATACTACTGCACATTAACACCCATACTACTGCCCATTAACACCCATACTTCTGCACATTAACACCCATACTACTGCACATTAACACCCATACTTCTGCACATTAACACCCATACTACTGCAAATTAACACCCATACTACTGCACATTAACACCCATACTACTGCACATTAACACCCATACTACTGCCCATTAACCCCCATACTACTGCCCATTAACACCCATACTACTGCACATTAACACCCATACTTCTGCACATTAACACCCATACTACTGCACATTAACACCCATACTACTGCACATTAACACCCATACTACTGCACATTAACACCCATACTTCTGCACATTAACACCCATACTACTGCACATTAACACCCATACTACTGCCCATTAACGCCCATACTACTGCCCATTAACACCCATACTATTGCACATTAACACCCATACTAATGCACATTAACACCCATACTACTGCACATTAACACCCATACTACTGCACATTAACACCCATACTACTGCACATTAACACCCATACTAATGCACATTAACACCCATACTACTGCACAATTAAACCCATACTAATGCACATTAACACCCATACTACTGCACAATTAACACCCATACTACTGCACAATTAACACCCATACTAATGCACATTAACACACATACTACTGCACATTAACACCCATACTACTGCCCATTAACACCCATGCTGCTGCACATTAACACCCATACTACTGCCCATTAACACCCATGCTGCTGCACATTAACACCCATACTAATGCACATTAACACCCATACTACTGCACAATTAACACCCATACTAATGCACATTAACACCCATACTACTGCACAATTAACACCCATACTACTGCACATTAACACCCATACTAATGCACATTAACACCCATACTACTGCACATTAACACCCATACTAATGCACATTAACACACATACTACTGCACATTAACACCCATACTACTGCCCCTTAACACCCATACTACTGCACATTAACACCCATACTACTGCACATTAACACCCAGAGTACTGCACATTAACACCCATACTACAGCACAATTAACACCCATATTGCTGCACAATTAACACCCATACTGCTGCACATTAACACCCATACTACTGCACAATTAACACCCATACTGCTGCACAATTAACACCCATACTGCTGCACAATTAACACCCATACTGCTGCACAATTAACACCCATACTGCTGCACGATTAACACCCATACTACTGCACAATTAACACCCATACTGCTGCACATTAACACCCATACTACTGCACAATTAATACCCATACTACTGCACAATTAACACCCATACTGCTGCACATTAACACCCATACTACTGCACAATTAACACCCATACTACTGCACATTAACACCCATACTACTGCACATTAACACCCATACTGCTGCACATTAACACCCATACTGCTGCACATTAACACCCATACTACTGCACATTAACACCCATACTGCTGCACATTAACACCCATACTACTGCACATTAACACCCATACTGCTGCACATTAACACCCATACTACTGCACATTAACACCCATACTACTGCACATTAACACCCATACTACTGCACATTAACACCCATACTACTGCACATTAACACCCATACTACTGCACATTAACACCCATACTACTGCACATTAACACGCATAATACTACCCATTAACATATGCTTTTGTATTCATATAACATATATTCTTGTCTTTAAAAGTCTTGGTGTACTTACTTAGCGTGTTTAATGGCTCGGTCACTTAGCGTGTTTAATGGCTCGGTCACTTACTTAGCGTGTTTAATGGCTCGGTCACTTACTTAGCGTGTTTAATGGCTCGGTCACTTACTTAGCGTGTTTAATGGCTCGGTCACTTACTTAGCGTGTTTAATGGCTCGGTCACAGTATGTCAGTGCACTTGTGAAACCAGAAACGAAATAAGCATTGGCCATCATCAGGAATACGTGGGGTAATTCTTTGTCCTTGCACTTCGAACTGTTTACCAGCTCCTCATATCGATGTAGCGCTTTACGGTAGTTTCCTCTCATATACCAGGTGTCGCCTTCATTGATACCTTCTGTCTCATCCTCCTGCAAATCCAGAATTTTGTGTTAGTGTTTTCATCAATTTTCTGTCTTTACCTCACTACACACTTTTATAATAATTAAACTTGTTTTTATTATAATATTTTGATTCAAGATCAATTTCCTTCACCTGGAGTTGTTTGATGGAAGTGAAGGATGGAGTGAACGCTACAACTTACTTGCCATCTTGTTACTTACAACTTGCTGAGTCTTGTCTGCTGGTAATGAGAGGGACGTTATCCAAAGACTTATATACCTTCCTATCCTGGGATCACACCTTGCTATCCCTTCCTATCCTGGGATCACACTTTGCTATCCCTTCCTATCCTGGGATCACACCTTGCTATCCCTTCCTATCCTGGGATCACACCTTGTTATCCCTTCCTATCCTGGGATCACACCTTGCTATCCCTTCCTATCCTGGGATCACACCTTGTTATCCCTTCCTATCCTGGGATCACACCTTGCTATCCCTTCCTATCCTGGGATCACACCTTGCTATCCCTTCCTATCCTGGGATCACACCTTGCTATCTCTTCCTATCCTGAGATCACACCTTGTTATCCCTTCCTATCCTGGGATCACACCTTGCTATCCCTTCTTATCCTGGGATCACACCTTGCTATCCCTTCCTATCCTGGGATCACACCTTGCTATCCCTTCCTATCCTGGGATCACACCTTGCTATCCCTTCCTATCCTGGGATCACACCTTGCTATCCCTTCCTATCCTAGCTCATGCCGTGGTCATACACATTAATAATATTGTCAGTCACAATATATATCAATATCCACATGCACTGATGCTGCGGATCTTAATACACATCAGATAAAACTCACCGAACAATGATAGACGTAGTACAGTGATAGACATACATAAAATGTACAATTGAATTACATAAATATATACAGACTGGAGTTATATATAGGTGAGTGGTCGGCCTAAAATATGTACAGTATTGTGTTGTCATTTCTCAAGTAAAGAGCTGCCAGAGAGGCAGGACGGGAACGTAACGAGGAAGACAGGACAATGAAAAAAAAAAAACAAGGAAATGGGAGAGAGGAGGAACGAAGAAATGTACTTACAGACAATAAATCGATTAAGCTGTGTTCCGTTGCTTGGTCTGCGTAACCAACTGCCCCTGTTAATGAGAGATAATATCATTGTCAAGCAGATAGCAGACATGCTATCACCTACACCAGGGTCATTAAGATTGTGTCTGACCTGAATACCAATAGTCAACAATACCCTAACTCCATATATATGGGTTAAATTCTCTAGATATATATACTACTGCAGGGGTGTCACTAGCACGTTAAGAGACCATACAATAAGTGTCAGGGGCCCGAGACTGTTCAACTGCCTCCCAGCACACATAAGGGGGATTACCAACAGACCCCTGGCAGTCTTCAAGCTGGCACTGGACAAGCACCTGAAGTCAGTTCCGGATCAGCCGGGCTGTAGCTCGTACGTTGGTTTGCGTGCAGCCAGCAGCAACAGCCTGGTTGATCAGGCGCTGATCCACCAGGAGGCCTGGTCACAGACCGGGCCGCGGGGGCGTTGACCCCCGAAACTCTCTCCAGGTAAACTCCAGGTAAACTAAAAAAATATATTTTTGTATATATTACGTCTGTGTTTCACACTATTTGAGGAAGCAAAATATATTAATAGAAGAAACATATTTCAGATATTCTTCTGTTCCAGATCAAATGATTCGTGAACAACTTTTCTGCTTGACAAGACACTTGTGGAACAGCGAGGTGTTTTTATTCCGCAACGTTTCGCCTGAACAGTAGGTTTCTTCAGTCGAGGACAGAGGAGGCAGCAGAATCAATATAAAAGTAAAGACAATGTTATCAGTCCGTTACTCTCGAAGACGCAGTTTAGAGGTGGTCAGTCCCTCAGCCTGGAGGAGAATTTTGCTCCATAGGTCTGAAAATATGTGAAGTTGAGCAAAGCGGAAAGGATATTAATATAATGACTGATGCTGTCCTCTAGAAACTCATGACTGATGCTGTCCTCTAGAAACTCATGACTGATGATATCCTCTAGAAACTCATGACTGATGCGTCCTCTAGAAACTCATGACTGATGCTGTCCTCTAGAAACTCATGACTGATGCTGTCCTCTAGAAACTCATGACTGATGCTATCCTCTAGAAACTCATGACTGATGATATCCTCTAGAAACTCATGACTGATGCTATCCTCTAGAAACTCATGACTGATGATATCCTCTAGAAACTCATGACTGATGCTATCCTCTAGAAACTCATGACTGATGATATCCTCTAGAAACTCATGACTGATGATATCCTCTAGAAACTCATGACTGATGCTATCCTCTAGAAACTCATGACTGATGCTGTCCTCTAGAACTCATGACTGATGCTATCCTCTAAACTCATGATGATGCTGTCCTCTAGAAACTCATGACTGATGCTGTCCTCTAGAAACTCATGACTGATGCTATCCTCTAGAAACTCATGACTGATGCTGTCCTCTAGAAACTCATGACTGATGATATCCTCTAGAAACTCATGACTGATGATATCCTCTAGAAACTCATGACTGATGCTATCCTCTAGAAACTCATGACTGATGCTGTCCTCTAGAAACTCATGACTGATGCTATCCTCTAGAAACTCATGACTGATGCTGTCCTCTAGAAACTCATGACTGATGCTGTCCTCTAGAAACTCATGACTGATGCTATCCTCTAGAAACTCATGACTGATGCTGTCCTCTAGAAACTCATGACTGATGATATCCTCTAGAAACTCATGACTGATGCTATCCTCTAGAAACTCATGACTGATGATATCCTCTAGAAACTCATGACTGATGCTATCCTCTAGAAACTCATGACTGATGATATCCTCTAGAAACTCATGACTGATGATATCCTCTAGAAACTCATGACTGATGCTATCCTCTAGAAACTCATGACTGATGATATCCTCTAGAAACTCATGACTGATGCTGTCCTCTAGAAACTCATGACTGATGATATCCTCTAGAAACTCATGACTGATGCTATCCTCTAGAAACTCATGACTGATGGTATCCTCTAGAAACTCATGACTGATGGTATCCTCTAGAAACTCATGACTGATGCTATCCTCTAGAAACTCATGACTGATGCTGTCCTCTAGAAACTCATGACTGATGATATCCTCTAGAAACTCATGACTGATGCTGTCCTCTAGAAACTCATGACTGATGCTGTCCTCTAGAAACTCATGACTGATGCTGTCCTCTAGAAACTCATGACTGATGCTGTCCTCTAGAAACTCATGACTGATGCTATCCTCTAGAAACTCATGACTGATGCTGTCCTCTAGAAACTCATGACTGATGCTATCCTCTAGAAACTCATGACTGATGCTATCCTCTAGAAACTCATGACTGATGATATCCTCTAGAAACTCATGACTGATGCTGTCCTCTAGAAACTCATGACTGATGGTATCCTCTAGAAACTCATGACTGATGGTATCCTCTAGAAACTCATGACTGATGGTATCCTCTAGAAACTCATGACTGATGGTATCCTCTAGAAACTCAATGACTGATGGTATCCTCTAGAAACTCATGACTGATGGTATCCTCTAGAAACTCATGACTGATGGTATCCTCTAGAAACTCATGACTGATGGTATCCTCTAGAAACTCATGACTGATGGTATCCTCTAGAAACTCATGACTGATGGTATCCTCTAGAAACTCATGACTGATGGTATCCTCTAGAAACTCATGACTGATGGTATCCTCTAGAAACTCATGACTGATGCTGTCCTCTAGAAACTCATGACTGATGCTATCCTCTAGAAACTCATGACTGATGCTATCCTCTAGAAACTCATGACTGATGCTGTCCTCTAGAAACTCATGACTGATGCTATCCTCTAGAAACTCATGACTGATGCTGTCCTCTAGAAACTCATGACTGATGATATCCTCTACAAGGAACTGGACAACATGAGGAGATGGAACAATAACGAGGTAATCAAGGTTCCAATAATGCCTTGTATATTCTAACAAAGTTCTTGAATCTGCGCCGGACAATATATTTTCTATGATGTGTACCTCATGAATGTGCACCTCCATGAATACAAAACTCTCATGAAAATGATATTCACTAAGGTTGTCAACCTCACTCCAGAGGATGTATAGTGACATCAACGTCTTCTTGCAGTAATATTAGGAGTCACTGACGTCCGCACATCATCACACATAACAATCACAGTAACTTTATCTTCGTGAGTGACATTCAATAAGCTTGAAACACACAGTTATCCCTGGATACTTTACGGACAATGTTGCGGTAAGTAAATATATAAATAAATAAATATATATATTTACATATAAAAATATAAAAAAAAATATATGAAAAGATGGGGTGGTAGGGAAGTTGAATATTCAAACGGCTTCAGGAAGAAATCCAAATATTCATCCTTGAAGCCTTTTTATCCACTTTTCCGAGGCTGTGGGTCCCTTAATATACAACAGGGTGGACCCCATCCTATATATATATATATATATTATATATATATTATATATATATATATATATATATTATATAATATATATATATATATATATATATATATATATATAAAGGAACACTTGGACAACGAAATATGGATCCCAGGTTACAACCTATACAGATGTGACAGAGTGAACAAGCAAAAGGGGGGGGGGGTTGGCCTGTACATTGCAGAGTCACTTGTTTGCACAGAACTGCTTAATGCCTCAAATGATGTAGTGGAAGTTTTAGCAGTAAGGTCGAGAACCAAAACCTAGTCATTGTGGTAGTCTTCAAGCCTCCGGATGCAACAACCCAGCAATTCCAGGACAGCTGTTAAAAATTGACCACTGTCTGGAAAATCTTCCAGCTCCTGCAACCCAACATCTTGCTCCTGGGGGATTTCAACTTAAGGCACCTAAAATGGAGGAATATAGCAAATAATATTGTTGCAGTAATAACACCAGGGCAGCTCTGATGAAAACTCACACTCACACGAGCTTTTAAATCTCTGCACAAAATTCAATTTAACCAGCAAATAATAGAGCCTACTAGACTGGAGAATACACTAGACCTCATCTTCACTTACAATGATGATCTGATAAGAAATGTCACCATATCAAAAACAATATACTCAGATCACAACATAATTGAGGTTCAGTCATGTATGCGCGGAGCCCCAGACCGACATAATGAGATTAGTCACGAGGGAGCATTCACCAAATTTAACTTCAATAACAAAAAACATAAAGTGGGACCAAGTAAACCAAGTCCTAACCGATATAAGCTGGGAAGACATACTAAGCAACACAGACCCCAACTTATGCCTAGAACAGATTAACTCGGTGGCACTCGATGTATGCACAAGGCTTATTCCTCTAAGAAAAAGGAGGAGTAGATGTAAAACAGAAAGAGACAAGCGCTCCCTTTACAGGCGACGGAAAAGAATAACAGAGCGGCTAAAAGAGGTCAATATATCTGAAATGCGTAGGGAGACACTGGTCAGAGAAATAGCAAGCATCGAACTTAAGCTAAAGAATCCTTTAGGAGTCAGGAATCGCGGGGAAGAACTAAAAGCCATAAATGAAATCGAAAGAAACCCAAAGTATTTCTTCTCTATGCCATATCAAAATCGAGAACAACGTCCAGTATTGGGCCCCTACTTTAACAAGATGGGTCCTACACAGATGACAGCAAGGAAATGAGTGAGCTACTTAAGTCCCAATATGACTCAGTTTTTAGCAAGCCGCTAACCAGACTGAGAGTCGAAGATCAAAATGAATTTTTTATGAGAGAGCCACAAAATTTGATTAACACAAGCCTATCCGATGTTATCCTGACGTCAAATGACTTCGAACAGGCGATAAATGACATGCCCATGCACTCTGCCCCAGGGCCAGACTCATGGAACTCCGTGTTTATCAAGAACTGCAAAAGCCCCTATCACGAGCCTTTTCCATCCTATGGAGAGGGAGCATGGACACGGGGGTCGTCCCACAGTTACTAAAAACAACAGACATAGCCCCACTCCACAAAGGGGGCAGTAAAGCAACAGCAAAGAACTACAGACCAATAGCACTAACATCCCATATCATAAAAATCTTTGAAAGGGTCCT